AGAGTGAAAGAAATTAAAACAATTGAAAGTAAAAGACGTGACTTTTACGATTATATATAATGTGTATATATTATATAGATATTATATATGTATACATTTTCTCTCGGGCGCATACATACACACGACGTGATTCAATCGAAGTATATAAATATTCGCGTACGGGCGCGTTAAGGTTTAAGTATAAAAACGATAAAAGAACTCAATCTAATTGCCTTGTTTTTTATGCAAAACTTATGAAAGTATCGAAAGTAATGGTTTAAAAAGTAATAAAAATGCTATTTAAAAGTCTAAAATATACATATATATAAATATATAAATATATTATATAAATATAACACACACGCATACACACATACGCACGCACGCATACGCAGCCACATACACGGAAACACCGACAAATCTACACACACACACACACACACACACACACACACACACACACAGAGATATACATAAATCCAGTGTGCCGGGGGTTGGAATTTTGGAAACAAGATGGACGGGGGTGAAAAGTATCCAAAAGTTCAAAAAAGGCTAAGAAAAAAAATTATTATTATTATTATTATTATTACTATTATTATTAATTACTAAAAAAATAAAAATAAATACTTAAGCGTAACGTTGGCCCCAAAAACTGTAGATGCGTGCGTATATTTCGAAGATTTTTACAAACACCGATATGCAATTCGATAATCCGTAAAACCCAAAAATACAATATACAATACACACGATTTAAAAAAGAAGATACAGCCACACACCGTGCACCGGGTCTTGTCGGGTAATATTAAGAACATTTCGCGGTTTCTTTAACCTTTAAAAATGAAAAGAAGAAAGAATATACGATTGCGTTATCGTGCATGATACAGTGAATTCGCGAAAGTCGATTTGAATGTGTGAACCAAGGAATGAGCCTCGTCAATCTCGCGAACATACGACGCGGCAAGATTATTAGGAATAATAGAAAAATAATAGGAAATGAAAAATTGGGAGAGGAGGTAAAGTAAAAGATGTGCGAGGTGATCAGCATCGGTGATTGCGTGAACAATAATGTGACAATAAACAAAGGAAAAAAGAGCCTCGTACTGAGGCGGCAATTTTTGAGGTGGTGGCGTACATTCTTTTTCAAAGGATGCGTTGAATGCATCTCGGCGAGATGCATTCCTCCGCGTCGCGGTTTGCTGTTCGAAGCGACGCGCGAGCGTAATTAAAAGGTATAGAAAAAAAAAAAGAAAATCTTAAGAAAGATATAAAAATGAAATTCTTTTCGTGGGGTAGTCACGTTTCGACCCACGCAGCCTTACTGGGCCTTATTAAGGTATCGTCGTATTATTACTAAATTACTATCAAAGTAACGATAAAGTTTAAGTAAACGGTAATCAAATAGCGGACAGAGGACAACGGCGAAAGTGGCCTGTGGAAAAGCGACACGGTAGCGAATGCTTAAAGTATAAACAAAGACGACGGCCGAAGAGTAGCGTAATTAACGGATTGTGAGACAAATTCGTAGCAAGGGAGATAAGGATGCGAAGGTACAGTCTACCTGCGAAAGGGTTCGAAAGTAGAAAATTAGAGATTGAGTTGCCGAATTGTCCGTTTCCTCGGTGCGATTTTGACTGATCTTTTTTTTTCTTGTCAAATTGTTGGAGGGAGAGTGAGTATGCAACGGCATTATGCGTGTGCGAGTAGATGAGTGACAAAACGAATGATAGAAGAAAAGAAAGAGAGAGAGAGAAAGAGAGAGAGAGAAAGAGAGAGAATGAGAGAACGAGAGAAAGAAATATAATATAATTAGAAATTCCACCGTTCAGCTAGAAGAAAGAATTAATTGCGTCCACAGTACAGTTTACGAAACGATTTTAAACAAGCGTATTTCTAGCACTGTTAAGGAACATTTCTTCGAATTCCTCTACTTCTTCATCTTCTACTATTACCACTACTACTTCTTTTTCTACTTAATTCCTTTTGAAGGAGAAGCTATAAATGCGTACAAGTCTCGATAAAAAAAAAAAGCCTTTAACAAGCTCAAGGAGTGCGTTTACGACTACTGTACCGACTTTAATGTATAAAAAAAATGAAAAAAAGATAATAATGATGGAGCAATGATGCTAAAAATAATAATAACAACAATAATATTAATAATAACAGTAATAATAATATTAATAATAATAATGGTAATAATAATAATAATAACGGCAACAACAATGATAATAATAATAACAATAATATTAATACTATTAATGATTATAAACGGTAATATATATTATTAAAAATATTACCAATAATAATAACAATAACAACAGCAACAACAATAACAGTACTAATAATAATACTTATTAATAATTAATGATTAATGCATAACAATTAAAAATAATAATAATAATAAGAACAATAATATATTAATATTCTAATAACAATAACAATAAAATAATAATCATAATAGTACCGATAATGATACTAAAGATATTAATAATATTCATAATAATAATATTAATAATAATAATACTCTAATGACACAAGAGGTAATATTAATAATAATAATAATAATAATAAAATAATACGCGTAAGAAAGATGCGAAAAAACGGAGCGCAAGCATCAAGGCTGAGCCGACGAAAGTCTACCCTCCTTAATTTAAGGACGAACTCCAAAGGAAGTGAGAGGTATTCGACGCTTTGAGTGAACAGTGATTGAGATGCTAATCCCGTCGACCGATCCGATAGGCGACGATACGTTACCTTCTCGCGTCACAGTGGGCATAACGTTAAAAACAAAAAAAAAGTAAGGAAGAAAGAAAAAAAAATGCAGTTTCATAATTCCTCTCGTATTATCGTTCCTGACTCTATATAGATCGCTTACGATGTTACTTGCGCGAGAATAATAAACGAAAAAATAAAAAAGTCACTATCTCTCAGTATTCGAGTAGACTCTAACTCTAACTTAACTTAATTAATTAACATAAAAGAAAAGAGAAAAACGGAAAAAAACGTCTTTTTTATCTCTCTCTCTTCCAGTAATTATCCGCTAACTTGGAAGGTGCGATGGTCGCCGCTCTGGATGCGTGCGACGCCGCGGAAAACACACACGACGCGATTGACACTCTTAATTGCACTTGACTTCCGCGTGAAGGAAAGGAATTTCGAAGTTTTGAGCTTCGAGAAGATGCGACTTGCGACCTGTTTGTCCGCTTCGCGAGCGGAAATTCGAAGAATGTACAGCGCGAATATCAAAAGACCCAGACGTCACCCGTCGACCACGGAAATTCCGATTTAGACTCAGGTGGACAATTCAGACGCAGACGCGTCTCTTGGACGAGCCCCCCCTCGCAAATCCGATCGCGCTCAAACGATATAGGGAAAATGTTTTACAAGTGTTTGCGAGGAAAGATGATAACGCGCATTCGCGGATACGATAAATTTGAGCAAGTGCCCTTGCACTTTAAATGCCTTTTAGCGAATTCTCGTCTCGAAGCTTGTGTCTCGAGTCGCCCTTTGCGTTTAGCGAATAGAATAAATAGTGAGTTTTTCGAAAAGAGAAAAAAAAAAGAAGTATTGATATATTTACTAGCGCACCAGGCGTTCTTAGCGTACACGCATAAATATTCATCTAACGATACAATTTCGTAGTGCAGGTGAAAGTGCCTTATAACGGTCCTCCACGAACGCGAAGTAAATTCGTTACGGGAATTTTCTCCGGCCGCCGACCAACGAGCGGGTCGCTTTGCGAGGGGATCGTCCCGGGGATCTGTGCGGGATCCGCTTGCGATTAACAATAGAATAATGCGATTGTCGCAGGTCTAATTCGGTTTCCGAATTCGATCACAGTTCTCGTAAGGAGAAGAAAAGAAAGAGGGAAACAAAATTTTCGCGTGACGATTAGTGGCGATTCTGAGTATAGGACGAGATGCAATAACCGATGATGATGGACGACTACAGTGTGCGTGTGCGTATCTGTTTGTGCGTGTGCGTGAAAAAATAATGAGAGGTAGATAGATGATGGAGCTTGGTGGGAGGGGAAGAAGAATGCGAGAGAAGTTGATAATGTCCAGCAATATGAATCATAAATGTGATTGGAAATTATATAGTGTAACATAACATGCAATTTAATATAATTAAAAGTGTAATAATTTAAAGTTTTGCAACATGTAAGATCTTGGAACGATTTGTAAAATCGAGCTAATTGGCTAATGATGCGCTGTGAGCGACATTGTTGAAGGTAAATTCGAAAAGTGCGATAGCATCGCGGAAACAACTTCCGGAAAATTGTACCCGGAAGTCGCGTTTAATAAGACGTACATTTAATTTCCAAGATCTCTCTCTATAATTGAGAAAATTACATTTAATAAATATATAATCAGATATGTGATCTACTCTGCATTCTAAAGACCGAACACGCGAAACATTTAATTGTACATAATTTGAAATCATGAGAAAAAGAGAAACAGCGAGAGGGGAGGAAGAGTGAGTGAGACGAAGAGAGCGAAAGAGGAAGCGGAACGTAATGACGAATATCCCGGCAGAGTAAATAAATACGTCGAAAGCGAGTGATACCAAAAAAGGAAAAAAAAATCATGTTCTCTCATCTTCTCGAGTTCTTAGTTTCGGCACGGCGTCAGCCGAGGAGAAAAAAAAAAAGAAAAGAGGGAAACAAAAATGTGTGTCGGTGATTTTTTCGCGTCCGGCGAAGATTCCTTCTTTCTTCCCGTCGCATTTGCTGCAGGGTCAACGCGTCCGTTGCGAGATATTAATTATATATTTCAAAGATGGATGCAATTCCGAAATAAAAACCCCTTAAATATGTCACATAGTTGCGAGTCATTTCTTCACAAAAAAAAAAAAATAAAAGAAAATATTACCTTACTCCTTTCGCACACACGATCCTCGCATTTCTTCGTAAAATGATCATGGAAAAGTAATTCAGTTATGTAACTCGAGGAGTCATCTGAAATATTGATGTAAAGTGAAAAGACTTTCTCAGAGTCCATCTTTTTTTACAAGACGAATCTTACAAACACATTATTGACATTTTACATTTATCCACTTACAGAATATATATAAGGATATGTACACACGCTCCACTGTCCGATGTCCCACACACAACGAGTTTCTCTGTACAGAGATTTCTCACTCTCTTCTTGACATTAGTATCACAAAAAAGAAAGAATCATTAGCGAGCTCTCAGCGATTTTTCACAGCGGCAAGATCGAGCTTTTTTCTCTTGGCGTTCGTTTTCGACGTCAGAGCCGGCAGAACGCAGCCCTTCGATTCGGGGATCAGAAGACCCTTGTGCTCCAATCGTCGAATGTACGTGGTGTTCGGTATCACCGAGACCGGTCCGAAATAGCGCAACTCGCGCGGCCGATTTATCGGCAGCGGCTGATTGACTCGATCTCCCCGCGAAGACTCGTTTTCGGCCGGTTCCGGCTCCACATTATTATTGTTCGCCATTCTCCTTTCTTTGATCAGCGTCATCTGCCACCTGAAAACGACAAATAAGGTAAGCGCAAGGTGATGTTTATCGAGTGTTCTCCAGCTAAATAAATCGTCGAGCGAGATTGACCTTCCGATGCTGCTGCGGCACATCCTCGAGGATGTTTCTGTGTTCCTCTTGATCGCCAGCGGATTCATCGCGGATTCCTTCGCGACGGTTCGCCGTAGCTCGTCGAGAAACCTGTCGGCGAAACCGTCCTGCAAAAACAACGGGTGCTGCAGCAACGTGAGACACTTCGGCCTAGTGTCAGGATCCGTACGAAGACACTGCGCCAGGAAATCTACAGCTGTCGGGCTCCACGTGGGGAAGAGATTTCGGATAGCCGTGGATGCGGATCGCGGTAAGCCGGAGACCTCGTCGGGTTTCGCGCGCCGAAGTAGATATACGTGGCCGCTGTTGTTCACCGGCTGCTTGCCGTAAAGGGGACCTGTTTTACACCGGCAAGACGTCGCCAAGAAAGTTTAATATAAGAAATATAAATGTAACATTCTAAAATTTTTATTTCTAAGATTATCTGAAGTTTCTTTGTGAATCTTCATTTTTTCAATCTTTAGATTCACTATTTTTTAATTAACTTTTTCAATTGTCTAAAAAATTCCTCAATTTTTTTCATTTTTAACCCACCGAAGACTTTTGTGATGCGGTACAACTGATCGACGTCGCTGTCGCCGGGAAAGATCGGCTGGCCGGTGATCATTTCGGCATAGAGACAACCGGCTGCCCAAACGTCGATCCCTCTACCGTATCTGGCATCGCCGATGAGGAGTTCTGGCGCGCGGTACCACCTCGTCGCCACGTAATCGGTGCAGGACTCATTGGGCCCGCTCACGTAGCGCGCAAAGCCAAAGTCGCAAAGTTTGATCACGCCGTTTGGCGACACCAGCACGTTCTCGGGCTTTATATCGCGATGCATGATCTAACGAAAAGACAGAACAATCTAAGAGAGAGAAACATTGAAACTAAAAAAATCACCAAATGATCCAAATCCAAAAGATTAATTAAACCATATGAAATAAAATTGATATAGATCAAGCCCTAGCGATCAGGCTAGACAAAAAATGATTAAAAATATCTTTTTTTAAGAAAAATTATGAAAAAAATAATTTAGGAAGAATTTTTCAAACCTAATTAATTATGCGATAAACTGCGGATTGTAAAAATCTCAATTAGATGCGATCGCAAGCGGAAAATAATGTTTTCTGCCAGAGCCTTCCGTGTCGAGCTCGACCATATGCAGCAGCCAGTGCCCTCGTTCGCCACAATGCTATCATTCATTAAGTATCCGGCCGTTGCGTGTTACTATACATGCATACTTGCTGCAACTTGGAATTTAAGCGTCACGGCCGTGAACTTTACTGTAACGAAAGCGCTCCTATTGCCAAAGGTTGCTGATAAAGAGTAGGTACGTCGTTGTGTTCATGCTGTGTCTTTTTAAATGTTTAAATCCACCGCAGTTCAGCGTAAAAATATAATTTACTTTTCAATTTTCCCGTACCAATCATTTTCCACAATTTATTTCATATCATTCTCGAAGGATTAAATTCTACAACTTTGTCACGCACATTTTCTATATTTCTTTTAAATATCATGTAATATAATACATGATTATCGAATTTCGCGATATAAAAAAATTAAATTAAAAATAATTAAAAAGTAATTTGAAAACATATAAATAATCGCACTTCGCGCGCGCGAAAACTTCTCTATAATGTTATAAAAATATAACTATGTAGATAAGAATTTTCACTCACTTTGTGATTGTGACAAAAGTCCAAGCCACGAAGTATTTGAAAAATGTATCGTCTCGATTTTTCCCAGTCCAAACCATTCTCTGCCTCTTCCAATTCGTCCAGTACGGTGTGATCGAGATACTCAAAGACGAGATAAAGGCGCTTTCTACGGCGAAAGACCTCGATCATGTTCACGAGATTCTCATGATGTAATTTCTGGACAGAGTCATGTCGTTTAACGTCGAGCAACACGTCATTTTAAGCGATAAAGCAAACTGCTTATAAAATTAATATTAAAAAGATATAGCAAGCAAATTTTCCATTTTGGAAAAAGATATTGAATAAAAATTGAACATAAATCTTAATTAAAATAAGCTTGTTCTTAATTCGACACCTACCTTTAAAACCCTTATTTCGCGAATCGCTATCTTCCGCACCTGTATGTCCTCTTCCGTCTCCAGAAATTTCTTTATCGCCACCATTTGACCGGTCTTGCGATGCCTGCACTTCATTACGACTCCGTAACTTCCCTCGCCCACTACCTCGATATTCTCATATTTCTCCATTTTACCGATACATTCGGCGGCAAGAAATTTCACCAACCTTTTTGTTCGCAAAAAATCACAGATTGCGACCGCCCGAATTTATACGCTAAAAATACATTTACAAGAATGTATTTTTTAAATAATATTTGCAAGAATCCATAAAATGTATGATATTTCTTAAATTAAAAGAATTTTGTAATTTTTATTCAGTACTTCGTCTTTTATACTTTAAACGATTCTTACTTCACTTCATTTTAATACCGTTTTACAAGAAAGACATGTTCCAAATACACGAATAAACTAGTAACGTTGCAGTCTTGTGTATATTTAATGGCTGTCGTGTTTCTTGATGTTAACTCGCTCGCCGACGAGGCTCGACTGCCTCGAGGAGCCTCGTGCACAGACCTCATCGATGATTATCGATCTGCCGGTATTTAACCGGGGTTGGTCCTCGCTGAGGGCACAGGTGAACCTGCAAAAGGGAAATCGAACATTAGAGGAGGATAATACCTTTCGTAAAATTAGCATTCTATTTTTAGAATCCCGATACGTTGAAGATATTCCAAATTTCTGTGAATTAAAATTCCTTTTTTAGAACTCTAGCATTTCCTTATTCGAGAATTCAATATGTATATATTCTGCATCGAAGGTGCATATACAATCTAAATTTTATACACTAACAGTAACAATATAAAATTTTATTAATTCAAAGTTTCTAATAAAACAAAAATATAATCAAACACACAGAATAAATTGAAGCAAAGATTATAATTTGCGGTTAACTTACGAGATTCTTTGAATAATTTGGAAGTGAAAATTCGCTTCCAACTTGAATGCTTGTATGAGAGTGTTATCAGGGTGAAGAGTTAATTTGATATGAGACGACGCGACCGATGCGGAGGTATAAAATCATTGAAATGTATAAGCAAGAATTTCGGGACGGGTCGTCTCGGCTCGATCCTATCGATGGCGACTCGAGCGATCGTTCAGACAAATGCAACTTCCCCGCTATCGTGTCAAAGACGATTTGTCATAGCGATTTAGTGCCGCAACTCGGTGAGTAAGTATGATCGATACACGCGAATAGCAATTGGAGTTTATTTATAGATGAGTTCGGTGACTTTCCTTGATATCACGAACGAAGGCGCAGCTGACGGTCTTTAAACGCGATTCTGACATTAAATAGTAAAAATACCGTACAATGTATATAATGCGCAGTCATCCTTCGCTAGAACCCTCTTAGACGAGCAATAATAGCGCTCCGATAGTCACACACGTATTGTGTGCAGAATAATCCTTAGCTCGTGATAAAATGCATCGTGATTTGGCAATAATTTATGACATCCTATAATGGTCTAAAAAGCATCTCAGACGAAGCTATCTACGCTACATAAATCTCTTATGATTATTCACAATTATTAATGATAAAATTCCATAATATTCTACGAAAACATTCTAGACAAAGTATTTTTCTTTGACAGTAAATAACAGCGGAGGAATATTCGGGTGATTGAAAAATTTAGAAATTTAATAGGAATAATTCCGTTTGGTAAGAATGTTCGATGTATGTCACGCGTGGGCGGGGGCGTCTGTCAAGCTCACGTGGGCCGCGACTATGAGAAGCTCCACGTCGCGGAATCATCAAGAGTGGCGAGAAGGAGCCGTTCAGTCGCGGTCCATTCGGAGGCGTCGTGTCGGTCGAGAGCAAGCACGGAAATAGACGCACCACATGGCGGGGCTCTCTTCTCGGCTCTCCCGCTCTGTGTACACATCCGTCCGCCTTTACGCATTCGTTCTGTGGCGTTCGCCCGATGCTGGATCGTCCCCAGTGCGTTAATATGACGCGCGGCGAACGCGTCGTACTTGGCGAACGGTCGCACTCGTCACGAACGCGGCCCAGTCCGAACCTCATCGCGGCTTCATCGAACGAAATCTGCCTGAAGAAAGTCGTCGCGATATTCGTGTGAGCTTTAATTAGAATTTCAAAAAGTCACTCTGACGCGCGTGAGCCGCGCACGGTGAGCGCGAGTCGTACATGTGGGTCGTAATTTAACGCTTTCGTGACTGATAAGCGTCACGTCCGTTTCCAGAAGTTCAAAACCGTAGTTGAAGCAACTACGTTGAAGCATTACGTCTTTCCGTGAGGGCTAATAAAAGCTTTCGCAATTCTCCGCACTATACCCGACCAGCCGAATGTGAACGACGTGCGACCGCGGATGGAAGTAAGTTCACCGATAATTGGAAACGTAATTCAACGACGACGTCTGGATCAGCACCAAGATTCGCGGGGTGGACCTTAAGTGCGAGGAAAATGCGGGTCTAAAAGTGTTTCGCGAGTGTAGCGAGTGGCTGCTTGCTCTTGAACGCGATATCGCGCGGGCGAAAAATATTGAATCGGAAATACCGCGTGGAGGAATTCGAGGAAGCAACCAGCCGCTTCCACAATGTGCGATGCAAGAATACACATGGCATGCGAGGGGACAAGATGAGTCCAACACGCCCAAGTGTGTGCATGTGTGAGAGCGCGTAAAAGCGTCGTCTTCGCTTCTCTCCCGCAATCTCAGCAAAAGTTAAGCGCTCACCGCGAAGAGTACGTCTAGTCCGGAAGCTTGAAGAAGATGTAATTTCGCGAAGACCCTCGGCTGAGTGAAGTGTGACGGATCGGTGAAATTCCAGGCGGGAGAAAAACAGTTGTTCGACCTGCAACATCAAAATTATAGTTATTCAACGTGTACGTCAAAATTACAGCATAATGAAATTATGGTATCTTCACTTGTGATGATCTTCATTTCCTTCAATTTTACGGCGATAGCCTCGAAATGGCGCGGCACATCGATGATGACTCTGCAAGATCGCACAAATGGCGGTATTGTATGAAGGTCCGCGGTGATGTTTCCACGATTCAATAATTGTGGAAATTCAATAATCTCCTTGGAATTGACTGTCGTATTATTGCTGCAATCTAAGTAGAATCGTGCCGAGGAACATTAAAAAATCCTGAGAAGGTGAAAGATATTGTCGTCGTTAATATTTTAGCATTAATAAAATCCGCCAAGTTCGTCCGGAAGATTTAATGAGATCGCTCTCGGTGACGAGTTAAATGGCAAGATCGTCGCTCGGCTCCAAGAACAAGGAGATGATAAACGACTGCCGAAGGGAGCCATCGTCGGTGACACGAGCCGACGGTACCGTCGCGAACCGATAAACCGTGGGACCGATTAGATAAAAATATGGCTGCTTGCCATCCGACACCTGCCGTGCAACGCCTGCAGTTGCAGGACTCGACTCGGATCAGCTACGGTGCGATTAACGGCATCGGTGCTCCAAGCCAGAAGACTCTTCAGCAGTCAAACCACCCGCCGCATCTGCTTAATTGGGTCTACCTGGCCATCGCCGAGCAGAACCCGTCGCAGCCGCCCGATCAGGTAGCCGCGACACATGGGATACTTCGAGAACAGGATTTGTCCTTAATCTTTAATTAAGCGGAGAATTATTTGCAAATTATCTCGCGTTTATATTTCTAAAAAAATAGTGGGAATTGTCATCTAGATTAAAATAGAAATTTCGGTAATAAAGATACTTAAAAATGTCGAGCAGGAGATGAAAATCCTTGATGGGCTTGTTACTTTCAACGAATCGACACGATCGGATTATTCATTTATATTTTAGAACAAGCTGCTTCCTACGGTCTGGAACAATTTTCCCGGCACGACGTCGCAGGCTTACATGCACCAGGGCGGTTTGAATCCGTCCGGATCCGTCAGACCGATGAGGAGCAGTGTGGCGGAGAGTATCGCGGATTTGGCGGAGCACTTTAATGAATTAACTTTAGGTTGCGATAGAAAACCGACCAAGAGACCGCCGTCAACGTACCTGTGTCACTTGTGCTTCAAAAAGGGTCATTATATCAAGGACTGCCCGCAGGTCGGTATTTCCTTCGCTAAATTCCTTTCAATACTTCCCTTCGATAATGATATATCCTGAAATCTTCAAGCACAAATTTCTCTGAATGCTTACAAATATATGCATATTTTGCAAAAATCATACTTTTCTTGTATAATTTTTCGATATTTCATTATTTTGTAAATATTTGTGACAGTTCTGAAAACCACAACTTGGATTTTAATCTCTCTCGTGGATCTCTATCATAGATTTTCGCGCCTTTTGATTAGATGTCAAATTCCAACATGCGATTACAATCTATGATATGATTAATAGAAAGCCTTGATTATTTATCATAGATTACTTTATAAAAGGTCGCACAATAACATGGAAATGTCTTATTTTTATTTGTGGGAAATGTTCTTTAGCAAAATATTTTTCAGCGGAATTAAAATATTCGAAACAAAATGTATGCAAAATAATTAGAATAACGTAATTCGTTTCGAATAAATATCCAAAAAAAAAATGTTTAAATACAGTTTCGAATGCCGGCAAATTTTTATCATCGAAAAATTTATTCTACCGTTTAAATTTTGACCGAGAATCTCTGTCGAAATGATAGAGGCTCTTAGAAATCTCTATTAAACGCAAAGTCATCGTAGGGATCAGTAAATTTAGCGGTATTCGTAAACGACGTGCGTGCTTTGATGCAACAACAGCGCGATGCGCGTGGCTCAATTGAGCGCTAATTGACATAACAAACGGCATCTCTGGGACAGATGACGTCACACGGTCAATCATCGCGACATGCTCGATGAGAGTGAGCTAATTAAGCTGAGGTGACATTTCTCACATCGTCATTATTATTGATCAATAAAAGGCAAGAGTGGAAATTTCTAATTTCTGACTAATAAATTAGTTAATCCACTTTACAATTAATTCAACTCTGATCAAATAAATCTAATTAATAAAAATAATTTTAATGAACATGTTTTCTGAATAATTACACAAAAAAAATCAGCACAAGTTGTACGTTATCGTAACAAAATATGTTAGCTATTGCATGGGCAGTCAAATATTTGTTAAGGTTGAAAATTGAATTTTCTGAAAATAATTCTGCTAAACTTACAAATTATGACAAATTGATTTTTATTCTGCCATCAATATTTGTATTAGCGGCGACAAATTATTTTCTTGTAGCAGTAAATTAATGTGTCCACGAACAAATGTGTTCAGCAAAATTTATCTCTTCTGCCAACGACGCAGATATTCTCTTTACACCGAGTAATCTGAGAAATTAATTATGATAGCAACATTTTTGCTTGTCATATCCAATATATAACAACTAATGATGATTTCACTGCGATAGCAGGATTCCTTTTTCTCGTATAACATATATATTAAATCGCGTATCGCGATTAGTCATTAGTGGTTCTGACTTTGAACTGAAACGATGCCGCAGGCGCGGCCAAAGGGCGAGGGCACGACACCGTACCAGGGCAAGAAGCGGTGCTTCGGCGAGTACAAGTGTCCCAAGTGCAAGCGCAAATGGATGTCGGGCAACAGCTGGGCCAATATGGGCCAGGAGTGCATCAAGTGTCACATAAACGTGTACCCTCACAAGCAGGTGAGCGCGAGGGGAATCCGCGTCCGTCTGCGCCGCCGCTCCGATCAGTCAATGTTGGAATAAAATTAGTCGAGATCCACGACGGAGTCCCGGTCGGTCTCGTCGGTGATCTCGATAAAGGTCTCTTGGAACCGTTTCGCTTTCTCGAAATATTACGCGGCCGAGAGAACGAAATATCGCGTAAACCGGCGCGAAGGCTAATTATAGTCGCATAATCGCGCTCGCTCGCTCCCGCCGCCCGGTGCGCAGAAATACCCTGGGTCGGAGTCGCCGGTAATCGTTACGTTGTGTGAATCCCGAGACACGTTCGCGGATTCTTATTATAATTAAGCGCTCGGCCGTGCCGCTCGCGCATAAACGCGACGCGTTAGACGCGCACCGACGTACCGGTGCGATCCAAGAGTCGCCGGGGAAGCTTTGGTTGGATATATTTTTCACGTAGTCGAATCACATTGAATTATATTAATTTAACAATATTAACAATAGATCGGTAATAATATCGGATATAACGCTAATAATACTAATAATATTAACAATATAAATTATATTAAGAGGGAAATACCTTGACGCAAGACGGGAAAATCGAAATACTCTCACGCAGTGCGCATTCTCTGGCGGGCAGTAAAAAAAATCTTCCGCATTATTTTCAGAGGCCGTTGGAAAAGCCCGATGGTCTGGACGTGTCCGATCAGAGCAAGGTCCATCCCCAACATCTCTGCGAGAAGTGCAAGACATTGGGCTTTTATTGCAGACGCAGCGCGTCTATGACTTAGCGACAGCCGAATTCCGTCCAATTTGTCTCCCGTAATCGCGCCGGGAAGAGAAACGTTCTAGCGGCGAAGAGACGGTATCGTCAATTCGACACGCTCGAACGTATCTTGAACTCCGGACGCGCGTCTGGCAAGACGACCATCTGTTCGCGAGATCACGAACCAGATCCTATATGTATAGCGCAAGAAAAAAAAATGAGATAATATATTTTTATGCATATTTACAATTAAAATAGTTTTTTTTTATCGCACAATCTTTGGCGAGAATTAATCTGGAGAAAACGTAGCGCTTCACAATCGTAGCGGTTTCTATTTATATCACTCAACAATTATCTACACGGACACACCTAGGTGCACACCGACATGTGCCGGCAACATGATCTTTCTCAGCTTATTTGCAAACAACAACACCGTCGTATCTGGAAAAATGTACATTACACGTCGAGTAAAAAAAAAATAAGAACGTCTTTTTTTTTTTTCTATTCACTCAGGGATATGATAAAACATTTCGGCTCTAGCTAATAATGATCGCAAGCAGGCAAGTCTTCGCGCAGGAGCGCTGTCTCTGCAAAAAAAAACGAGAAAAAAATAACAAGAACAAATGTAATGTAAAGGAAACAATGGTTCTCGCTTGCGCGCTGCAATAATAACGAGTGCGTGCGAGCTGAACGCAACGTCGTCATCGACGTAGTCCTGTTCGCTCTCGGTATTCTTCGGACTCCTTCGGGACGTGAGCATGATGCGTGTATAAATTTCTTATTGTTCAATGTATTATTTGCATATGTACAGATTGGGCTACGATATATCGCGCGAATGAAGAGACATCTGAGATGAAAGTTAAGAGCGGGAGATCGAAGCCGACTGCAATTTCTCTGAGAGTCCAATTTTCGACGTTGATTGTATGAGACAAATTCCATTTGAGAACAATTCCGTTTATCGATGACGATGCGAAGCCGATTCTTTGCGTCGATTGAAAATTGGGCTTACCGAAATTGCACAGCACTTTCAATCTTCAGCGAAATCACCGTTTAATTCGGCATTCTCTACGAATCGCATTGCACATGTACGAGCCTAGAGCACGCGGCTACACTTAAGGATTTAAATTGCCTAAGTAGAATCTGTAAGAATCAAAATTACGGTTCGCACCACTCTACGTGGAACGCGCGCCGGTGAAATGGCGAGGAGTTGATCAGTCGAATTCAGAGAAGATTTGGCCTTACACGTTTGGCTAGCGCGGAGAGCTCCTTTGTTGCAAAAAAGATTCAATACGGAAGTACAAGATTTGAGTGCTGAAAGTGGTGCTGAGAGCAATGTTGTGTTCTCACCATTATTGTTACGATTATGCGCACGATAATCCTAACAATAAAGCGTACACGTATAGTACATATACATATATATATATTATTTGTATATAATGAGTGCCAAATATACAAACCAAAGATGCAACAAACTCTGCGTCTATATATACTCGTCCTCCCTCGTCACTCCCGACAGTATCTCTCATCTACACAGATCACGACTCACACATGATAGAAATGTTTTATATAATACAATTTACATAAAAAATGTACAGTGGTCAAGGGTTAGTGACGACGAAGAGAAGATCCGCCGCCGGATCCTCGCTAAAATACGCCGCGGAGTTAAACGTCGCCGCCGCCGTAGAATCTACGGTCATCGTCTGCAAACAAAACAGTTCGGTTACATTCACGCCACACGGCAAATCGGGGGGAGGGAGATATAAGCGGGCTATTTATATGGAATTCATTCTAACTGAGATTAAACTGTGAACGGCCAGATTGAATCTTGACAGTTTCAAGTGTCAGTATCAAAGGAATATCTTTACGTTTTTGTGAATATATTGCTCTTTTCATTTCGCAATCCTAGCGTGCTCGCGAAGGATGTCGTTTTAATCGACACTACGCGAACGCATTTTCGAGAGTCAATCGACGAGCCGAACGATTGACTCTTCCAGTTCCTGTTAAGATGCAAGACATTGATCACCTCAGATGGATCCGCGGGGTAAGGCGAGCTTTCCGTCACCGGATGCTGATACTGCGGCACCTGTCCGTACGATTGCGGCGGATACTGCGTGCACTGCTGCTGCATCAGCATTTGCTGCTGTTGATGCTGCTGCTGTCGCCACTCTTCATATTTCCTCATCGCGAGAATCAAATCGCGATTCTCGTCAGCGGAGTTCACATTTTGCGTCACGCTCACCGTCGACCTGGTATGTTCTTCTTTGCTCGGCGATATCGGTGATGATGATTGTTGTTGCTGCTGCTGCTGCTGTTGTTGCTGCTGCTGCTGCTGCTGTTGCTGCTGCTGCTGCTGTTGTTGCAATCGCTCGCCCGTTTTATCTGTCAGAGGACTCGCTGTGTGACAGATATCGAAAATACTCTGAGCAGTAGGCTGTACCGCGACCGGACTCGACACACTGGGCGGCGGCTGACCGACCAAAGTAATTACTTGTTGCGATTCCTTGCCCTCGGTGTTGTACATCAACGTCGGCAGCGAAACCGGAAGCGGCACGCCGCCAGATTGCGCCGGGCTGAGAATGTCTACTGGCTGCGCCGCAATCTTCACATCAGCGTTATTCTCGTTAGGGCACTCACTGGCGACCGGAACGGGAGTGCTTTCCGGTTGCGGAGCTATGGATCCCGGGAAGGACGGCTGCTGTTGGCCGACCAGACTAATGACTTGCGGCTGCGGCGATTGCTGCGGCGACTGCGGGGACGGCAGAACCGCAACGGGCGGCTCCGGGAAGAGCTCCACTTTCAGATTCGGCAGGAATGCGTCGATCGCCCGCCACGTGGGCGCCCAGAGGTTGGAACTCGGCGCCAGAACGTTGGCCGACGACATCACCAGCAGCATGTTCTTCAACGATTCGGGGATCGCCTCGAACAGCAGCTCGCTGTTGTCGGCGTGCATGTACGCGCGCAGGAGCTCCAGCACCGTCAGCCACAACGGCAGGAAACCAGACAGAGTCAGCAGTGGATTCAAATGATGGAGAAACACTTTGGAGAGCAACATCGCCGCTCTGACCCTCGTCTCCTCGACGCCGATGGGATCGTTGGACGCGATCGGGCCCAGTAGTTGCGCCAGCAGCGGAAACAGTACTTCCTCCAGACATTGCGACCATTCTACCGCGGACAGTTGCGCCAGATCGTGTGCCAGTAGAGTGCTCTGCAGACACGTGATCGCCGTTGTGCGCACTGGCCTGCGAGCGTCGCAGCAGAGTCGCGCGATTCCTTGCAGCAGCGGTCGCCAGGCTTGCGGCCACAGAGATATACCGTCGTCGATAGTGCCCTCTTCAGCCCACCATCGGAACACCTGGGCGATCCTCGTGTGCAGGGTGTGCATCAAATCCAGCAGCTGCACCGGGCTCTGCTGATAGCCGGGCGACTCCTCCGTAGTGTTGCACACTCTGTTTCGCTTGCCTGCGCACTGCAGCACCGCCTCTGCGAATGTTCTCACGCAGTTGACGCACAAATCAAAGTTGAAGGGTGTCACGTGCGCCATGTCGCGCACCAGGAAGTTCAAGCTTTCGCAGCACTTGACGAACGCCGCCGAATCGTGAAGCTGCAGATCGCGCGCCAGCACTATCGTGTCGGCGGCCACCGGAAGCGGCGCCTCCGTGCCGGTAGGTGACACCAACACCCATTCCGGGACCGGGCTGATGGGTCTCGGATCCAGAACCGACGCACGGGCGTTTGCTGTTTCGTCCAAGACGGTGTTGGACCGTTTAGGCGCCAGTGCGCCGGCGCCCGCGCATTCCAACAAGCTGAAGACGACCTTCCAGTCCTCCGCGCTGTGAATATTTGCGGCACCCGTCTTCAATAGCTCGAACAGACCGTAGGCGATCTGCCGGGCCAACGGCGCGGTTGTCGCGGACGGCAAATGGGTCAGAGGTAACAGAGGAGACAGACACGCGAATTCTTCGCCGCGCAGAAGCCGAATAGCCAACCTCAGCACCCCTACGGCCACCCTCTCGAGCAGATAAGGATGATTCTCGCGCGCCGCCACCGTCAGTAAGCGATCCAAGTGACTCTGGACAACCGGCCAGATGCACGTAACTCTATCGCGATTCTGTATGGTCACTTCCAGCAACAGCTCCAGCAGAAATATAGATATATCCTCGTCGTTGGGATTCGCGGACACCAGAGCACCGACGAGAGAGTTGAGCGACTCACTCTGAAAGAGAATTTGTAACATTACCACACGTTCGAGTCGCATATATACAGCTGCGCATTATTGAACGTCGATTTACCTGAAAGAATTTGCTTTCTTCGATGATTTCCTTGAGATAACAATTAGTGATAAACTCCGTGGCCTTTTTCCGCGCGGTCGCCTCGGCGGGATGCGGCAGGCGCGACGTATCCATCGCGATATACGAATAAAAGGTGGAAAATAATCCTTGATCGACTTGAGAAGCCTTGGGCGTAGTCGGTTCCCGCAGTAGAGATATCCTGCCGGATGGATCGATGAAGTCCTCCGCTTCCGTGAGATTTTTCGGTAACAGCCTCGCCTCGTACAGCGATTGCAGACAATCGATGATATTCTTCCAAGACGCCCTCAGAGCGTCCCCGTGCAAATGCGTGATCTTGAAAAGAGTGCGAGCGGCCAACTGGGACTTTGCGCTTCCACCGAGATGCAGAACCACTTGCTCGGGCTTGCCGCCGATTATCAAGCCCGTGAACTTACAGAGACTCACGATCAGGGTATCCAAGTCGCCGCACATGCTGTAGTGGGCACTGATCGCCGCACAACTGCAATAAAAAGTTGCAGCTAGTACGAGAACGAATTTACAACAAACACAACAGGAGACTGCAACAAACCTGAGAAATGTTTGAGCAACTTTGCGCTGCAGCGATCTGTCTGGCGCTTTATCAAACGCGCGACAAAGAGCGCTCACAATCGGACCCCACGCGTGCTCGGCCAAATCTCTGTCGATGAATTCGCTAGAATTGCCTACTTTCAAGTACACACTCTCAAGTCCAGCACCTCTCCTCAGTAAAACCTTCCATAGATAATTGTCTTTCACTAGCCCGGTCTGCTCGGCCGGCATCACAATCTCTTCCCCTCTGTAATAAGTAAAGAATATTTAAATGAAACAATAGATTTTTGATTGAATCTTTGTAACGCTGAAACTTACTTAATTGACGAATATATCTCGTCGAGCATGTCCTGATCAAAATCAGCACCGCCGTTAACTTTCTTCAAGTTTCTCTTGAATTCATCGGCGGTCATGGGATTATTCTGTCTTTTTACATTATAATTATGTTGATCGACGTTTAACATAATCACCGCGTAAGCTAATGTAAAGGCGGCGTCGGCTGAAGCAAACGGTACACCATTGCTATCCTGGAAACGACAATAATCGGTTATTTTAACTTCACTGGCTGTCATTTTTAACAACTATAAAAATATTAGATCATTTATACAATACTCACGTGCCAATGCTCGGCAAACTTCTCGAGTAGAAGAGATATGAGAGGAGCTTCTCCGGGCAGCCTAAACGATTCCAAATAAAGTCGCAGGGCCTGATCGATGCGTGTATTTCTCAAGTCGAAACTGTGCACGAAATAATTCAGGATGTTCTTGTTCTCCTTCTTGCTGATATACTCGCCGATCGCCTTCTTATCCAAGCCGGGATTCTCTCTCAGAAGTTTCGCAACTTTGTCTGGATCCGAGTGACCGGGAGTGCCGCCCAAGAGACCGTGCTCGGTGAGTTTTGTGATACCCTCCCGCGGGTTCTCGTTGAACTTCTCCGTGCCAAGAACTAGCCACTAGAAAGCAAAACCTGGTTCATCGCAGTTGCACGGGGAATGATGTCCCAAAAGTACGAAACGTAGTTCTTACCCGTTTGTCCGCCTTTATCGCGAGTAGATCTTCGCGCGTGGGAAGATTTGCCGAGGTCTCGTGACGTGACGGCTTACACAATTCTTTGCAGCCTTTGCAACGAATCTCCATTCCGGTAATGAGCGTTATTATGGCTTCCAAGGAAATCAATTGCATACTGTGCATGCTGGTGGTCATCGCTATAGAAACATTCTGAAAGGCAATTTTTAAAGACATGAACTTTTTGTACATTAATTAATGCAATGACGCGAGAAACGATGCGTACCTTAGAAAACATCTTCATAAGTTCCTCGTACAAGTTCGTGGAATAGAGTCCGCAGTCATAATTTAGATACAATTCGGCGGGCAAGCCCGGTATCCTCCATAACCTTACTATGGCCTCTGTAAATCGAGGAGATAAAGTTTACATTGCTAAATTACTGCTGTTATGCATTGTGCACTGTAACAAAATTAACGTACCAAGCGCTAATTCCCGTTGCTCGTATGATATCCTGTTAGACTCGGAATTAACTATTTCCATTAATTTGATCAAATAATGCTCCAGTTGGAATTTCAGATGTTCCCTCTGCGACTCGAACAGCAAGAATGATACTTGAAGATCCACAGCGAGAATCGACAATCTGTCTGTTCCAAGTAGCTGATACATAGATACAAATATTTTTCACAACTTTTCAACAATAAATACGTCTGATACAATGATGCTTGAGCGTCTCTTACCAAAATGAGATTTCTACACAACTCGTCTTTCACGAGCGCAAGCAGGGATGAAAAATTAGATAGAGCGTCGGAAGCGATTTCCAACGCCACTTGCAGTAAACTAAGACCCAAATGAGTCATAATCTCGTTGTTCTGCTTGTCGAGAGGGCTACACAAGGAGATGAGAAATCTGAACAACTCGCGCACGCACAATGCGCCGTAGGGTGCGCGTTGCTGCAACGGAATGAATCGGACGCCCTGACTGTTCACGTACTCCTCTACTTGCTCCGGCTCTTTCGCTTTGTACGTCTTCGACGTGCTTTCGTCTAGCGACAAATCTTCCACGCTGCCTACCGGAGATTGCGCCAAGTCTATGCTTTTTTCATCGTCACCTATACGATTAATTGGAAAATGAGGACTTGGAATCTTTTAGATTTATTTAGATTTACTTTAAGATGACAAATACCTTGAATTTCTGATACGGATTTGATAGAAGATTCGGAAACTTCGTCTGCGGTATTCTTCTGATCAGCTGCCACTTCTTTTTCCGCGTTTTTGGTCTCTGCTAAAGCTGCAACTTTATTTTCTACGTCAACATTTTCAGATTGAGAATTATTATTCTCCACCGTTTCTGCCTCGCTCTTAATATCCTTGTCATCTTGTTGCTTCTTATTTGCTTCCTGATTATCCTGATTATCCATTTTGCTATTTTCAGTTTTGTCCTTGTTACTATCTTTGTTGCTGTTAATCTTGTTTTCACTTTTTTCATCCTCGCTTTTATCAACACTCCCATGATCTAACGATCCTTGCATGTCAACGATATTGCCGACGGGTGAAACGGGCGTGGTGGCCAAGTGACCTGCACGAATTCTATCCACAGAGCTCATAATAAGCTCCTTCTCGTCAACGTCATCACTCACGGACTTGGATTTCTGCTTCGTATAACTTTTGTGTTTCCTATTCTTGCTACGAGTACTTTCCACGCTGTTTGTTCTCATTTTCTGTCAAAAATTAAAACGTCATTTTTTACACATAAGTACATTAAATTGCGCATCGTGAAACTTACCTTCATATTCGGCAAAACTCTGGTATCGTCAACAAACTGTGGTAATCTAGTGAACAAATGTTGAACCATATCTCTTAAACAATGCTCCGCTGTTCTTCTAAGTATTTCTGTAAATTAAATATGTTACATTTTGACACATTTGCAACCTATCAGTACAAATGTGAGTACCAATGTTAATATAACTCACCACTAAGCCGCGTCTCAAAGCATATCCTAAAGCAACTCAGCATAATTTCACATATACTTTCATTGGAAAGATGATCGCCGACAGGTGACAGCATTAGAGCTCTCAAGACTTGTAGAATTCTCATTAGAACTACTCCATCACCAGATGCATCAGTGACTACAAATCTAGCATGAGTAACAGCATCTGCTATAGCCTCCACACAGGATGCTATGGCAGGGTGATTAGGATCTAAAAAAAAAAACATGTGTTACAGCACAAAAAATACAAAGATTCTCGCTGTCACAATGATTGAAACTAACCAATAAGACCGTAAGAAATTATTTTATTAACAGTGGATAATGCCAGACTAGTCACAGGTCCTGTAGTTTCCTCTGATCTTATGATTTCCAGGAAGGGAGTAAGAAAAACTGCAGGTTCCAATTGAGAGAGATCCCTTGGTTCATTCAACACTTCCTTCAAGGTGTTCAAGCCCTTCATAAGAGCATCTTGATCATCATCCTAAAACATAAAATGTGTCATTAGAAAAACTTGTCTTAACCATATGTCATGTCAGTTCTTCTTTTAATATTATTGACAAATTTATATAAATGTCAAAGTATCTGTCATCAGATCAATTTCTACAACCTGTTTGATTTGACAAAAATAAATATTCCAGAATGCTAATTATCTCATTAATGAAAACAGTTAACAAAAAAGGGGGCAAACTCTAACCTGGTGAGAGTGCGACGACCATCGAGCACCTCGCCGCATCGCCGTCACCAGGAGGCATACTTCACCCTCGATGACGTATAGGCCACCCCTGCAGGGGCCCATGGACCTCGTGGTTCTACTCATTTCGCGCGGGTTTTACTGCTACGCCATGATTAAATATCGAGAGAGCTTGACGACACAACATCGGATAATTCACAACGTGCACCAGACGTTGGCAAACGTCCGTCACATCAAGTGTCGATGTCGATGATGTCGAGCAGCCACTTCCCACCACTTCCAACTTCCAACACGATAACCATCGACCACCGTCAATCGCCGTCGATCCATGAGCTCGCAAATAGCAACGGTGACATTCGATTAATCGATATGCAGGCCACTATCGAGAATGCTGCCATTTATATTCCAATGGTTCGTTCAGAAAACAAGCGTACAAATATAAATTCATTAATAATAATTTTAATTATTTCATAAAATAATAATTATATTAGTCAAAGAAGATTTATGTTGATTATATCTTTTCATCTATTTTTAAAACATAATTTTTACACATTTCACAATTGCTTTATAAGCGTATTGTGCAGACTCAATATGCACGAGACTTAATACTAACTGGAAAAATTCAGTGCCTGTAAATTTCTATCAGTCGATCAGCTGTGTGTAACCACTGTGCTTCGTGTTTGTGATCAGCTTCTTCGCCGATTTCTCGCTCGATATCAGTTTCTAAAGCAGTACAATATTTCACTGTTGAATAATTGAAGGTAAGGATGAAGTATGAAGTTTAAATGTGAATTTCTCCCTCCTGATGTTTACCACGAATTAACCACATTCATAAATCGATCCTTATCGAGACGAGATATTTTGTATACCTTGTGCGCGATGCTTCTAGCTCTGCTTATGCACGAATCTGCAATTACTTTCAAATAATTATTATGTATTATTAACTAAATTCATAACAGTCGATTCTCTAAATTTTTCTCGGTAGCACGATATAATTATTCTCTAACGATGATGTCATTATCATGACTATACAATTTGATGAAAATTATATGCAAAACTATAGATATTAATTAATGAATAAAATGAAATCTCTATTCACACACACAGATAAATGTAACGCTAAATGATGCATTCGAAGAAGATTATATCAAATTGTTCACATGTGTCAGATGTAATGTGACGTTTTGATAAACTTACATGCAAAATTTAAATTTAAAATATGAACAATCATTAATTATACTTTGTCTCAACATGATATTACTATATTAAAACTATTTAAACATTTAAATTAATTAAAATTTTATACAAATTCTTTAACGTAAAATACGCATTTCTTAATTATATTTATATCTTATCTTATATCTTATCTTATATCTTATCCATCCAATAGATTTTATACCCTTGAAAAGCTCAAGTATACTAACAGTCTAAACCAAATAAATATTGATGTACTATCTTTCCTGTGTATTCATAGTCTCAATAATATACCTTAAAGAAGTTCGTTTAATTCTTTAAACTCTAACTCATCAGTAAGCACTTACTGATACACATTATCTAAAGTTTAAACATTAATTAATATTGGATTCTAAACTTACTCTCACTCACTCTTGTAAATTTTTTAAAAATTGCATAATGAAGCATTACTTTAAAATCCTTTTACGTCAGCTTTGTATGAAATATTTATCCAAACAATTTTCATAAAAAATGGATGATGCACAAATTTCTGTTATATGTAATTGTCAAGAGTTTTTAATAAAGAGAATTTAAACAGAATAGAGATATCCAATATTGAATAAGCAGAATTTATAGGGAGAAGTATATTAGTATATAATCAGAATTCTTAATAAGATTTTCTATTAGATGTTGCTTTCCGTACCAAAAATAATCTGAATTTTCCATAACTAAAAAAACTAATAATATGAATTTTAATATGAAAAACTCTAATATGAACATGCAAGGCTAGAGCATCGAGGCATAATTGAATGAATAATCCCTTTAGCTCAATAGAATGGGTTCAGTTTGTAGTACAAAGACCATCATGCCTGCCACACGAGATCTTGTCAACGAACTCATCGCAAAGGATTCGGTTGTGATCTTTTCCAAGACTTACTGCCCATATTGTAAAATGGCTAAAGAGGTATATATACACTGTTCCATAAAAGAATTACCTTACTTTTTATCTATAATGATAAGATCCGACTGAGAATTGCTGGTAAACTTTAATTTCTCTCTAGGTGTTTGATTCGTTGAATAAAACATACACGGCGATAGAATTGGATGACAGAGAGGATGCACAGGATATACAGGATGTGTTGGCAGAAATCACAGGTGCCAGGACAGTACCCAGGGTATTTCTCAATGGAGAATGTTTAGGAGGCGGTACCGACGTGAAGAAATTATACCAGAGTGGCGAGCTACAAAAAAAATTTTAAATTACTATCTACGAAGTGTATTATAAATGAATAACGTCATTTATTGCAAATAATGAAACATAATTTGCATTTTATTAAAATAAAATTTTACTACTATACACTGCATGAAAGGAAAAAATATAAATAATTTTTGGATTTCTGTTATCAAATATAAGTTTTATACTTTCAATTTAATAAACAAAATAACTGTTGTAGTTGGATGAATATTAATTCTGACCTGTTTTAATTAATTTAAATTCTTAAAAATGAGTTAATTTATTTAAGTTTTATAAAAATATCCTGTGTGTGTGTGTAAAAACAGAGCCAAATAAATTGTGCTTAAGTTAACTATGATAGACAAAATTGGCAATAAAACTGATACAATGAAGCATATTAATGTTTATCGTACATATCACCTGATTTTAGATAATTATAATTGTGATAATTAATGATGAATATGCAATATGAAATACAAGGCAAAAGGTAAATTTGTTTCTAGCTGCACCTTCTACACCTTTTTCTTTTTCTCCTCTCTACTTCCGAATTCTAAATATAGCTAGATAATTTCGTTTTAGGACAAGAAAGTATAAGATTGCACGAGTAAAGGAAATTACCGTAATAATCGAATCGACGTTGTACACGTCTCGGGCACCACGTATCCATCTGTGATGACGGTGGTGAGCCCACACATGTCCATCTAAAAATATCCGCAGTCCGACGCAGCTATTCGATCGCGTCGGCTCTATACTTATAGAGCCGATCGATCAAGGCGAAGTAATGGATTTACTTCAATATCGTAAAGTCATAATTTACGCGCTAACATTCCTAACATACGCCTGGTCCGGCTATGGCATCGGATTGCTGACGAATCTACGGGATGCCGTGCTAGCAGCGGAATCGGTCTTTCAGGACTTCTTCGCTAACGCCATAACCATCGCGAGGAAGATCAAGGACATACACGAAGTGTTTGATGCCGCTGTGGAGGAGAATTGCGTCTTTCAGTGTCCCGATGGTGCGTATTTCTCAGATTTATTTATCAACATCGCTTTATCAGGTTATCTCCATGCACGCCGCCATTGGTCAGTGTAATCGATTTGCGGTTCATGTATGTACACATGTTTGTACGTTGTTTATGTGTGTGTGAAGCGCATCAGCTGACATGGTGCTTTAGGATTGAACGATCTCAATGGCGCACTGTTTGAATCTTTCAGGATCCGCACCAAAGCTAGACCGAAATCACAAGCCGCACAGCAACGGATGCGGTTCTCTTGGAATCGAGGTTAGTATTCCCATGAAAATCTAAAAAAAAACGAATCAGTCAGAACACAAGTCTCATTTTTAGAATACCAAAGATTTTTACGACGCTCTTATATTTATAATATTGCTGTTCATAATTTAATTTATAATTTATAACAAATAGCACTAATTAAATTTGTAAATTTTGTCACAACATAGTCGAATTTATAGTTCAATTCAAAATTATAGTATTTCTATAGTGACTCATATTATACAGCACATAGTTCTTAAGCATACTAATCTCGTTCTGTCACATTAATCGCAACGGTTGTTTATAAAATATAACTACATTACAAATATTTGTAGGTGAATCAAGAGTACCTTCCGTTGGCTGAAATGACAAAGTGTTGCGACTTCCACGATATTTGCTATGATACGTGTAACACAGATAAGGAAAAGTGCGACCTAGAATTTAAAAGATGTCTATACAAATACTGCGACACGTATCAGTCCACTGGTATCACTATTGTCAACACGTGTAAAACTGCGGCAAAAGTACTGTTCACGGGAACGACAGCATTGGGTTGCAAGAGCTTTCTCGATGCTCAGAAGGAGGCCTGCTACTGTCCTGATAAATATAGAAATAAGAAACCAAAAAGAGCGGCGCAAGCTGGTGGAGAATTGTAAACATTGTGCATAATAAATACAATAAGATATATATTAAGTTTAAAAATTTTTTAAATTCTTCATGAGAAACATGTAGGATTTTTAAAAGAAGAAACATTTCTTAGAAGAAGAAGCTACAACTTTTTTCATATTGTAATTATATTTATATGGTCTCTAATATAAGGCACATGTAATATTAAATTAATTACGTTATAAAGATGTATGGAATAATTCTATTTACCTATGTTAATTAATAGAAGTGATATCGAAATCGTGTTTGTCTTTTGAAAAAACAAGGGACAATCTTTCTCGTGATACAAACGTCAATATGACAACTGTCCTCCGACAAAATTACCGGCCGAAACCGGTGAAAAGAATAATTGTCAAGTAACATCAATTATTAAGTAATTGTTGATGTCTCTTCGTGATGTAAAGCGGAATCTGCAATAAAAAAAATGGGAAACACAAATTCCACGCAACCTAGGAGTGGGAAGGATCGGAAAAAAGAAGGTCACGGCGGGTAAGACAATCTCTATGATAAAGAAAACAGCTTGATATCGCGTAATTTTACATTTTTACGTATTCACCTTTTGCCGACGATATAATATATAAACTGATGAATCTTTAGTCCACGTTAAGTATGACGTCAGCGAAAAACAATATGCGCATAATATTTCAAGCAGTTTACATCCATATAAAAGATCTCTTGTTAAATTCCTTCCTATTTGCGGTTTTATCTTTATGGAAATAAGGTGATTTTCCTGATCATTTCTGCGAACATAAGGTGCAAAAATTATTTCTGACATCATGGTTCAACTTTTCATTATTAAGCACTCGTTCAATAAGTGTTCATGCAAAAGCGTACTTTGCAGTTTGCCTCTTACGTAGCGCAGATACCAGAAAAGGTAGACGACCCGCGAGCGGAACCGGCAAAGCGGCCGGTCAAAATTCACAAGATTTCGACAAACGTAACGTTCGCGTCCACGCGACGAATCCGTTCATTATCTTCTTCCTGCGATTACGCAACAAAAAACCGAAGGAGCACGTTACCGTGATAGCGCGAGCCGCGGGCAAACTGTGGTCCCAGATGACTCCTGAGCAGAGGAAGAAGTATGTGGATCTCGCTAACGCGGAGAAGAAACGACGGCAGGAGAGAAAACGCAAGAGAAAGCGTTCGAGGTAATTCGTGAGGAAAGAAATTGACCGAGAGTCGATTGCAAGTCTATTTGTAAGCTTGAAGAATCCATAACTCGTTGACTCCGAGAGCGTAGTTTTCTCAGATGCCGTACAAATTGCAGGACTTAATCCGCTCCTGCTTCAAATCCTTCGAATAGAGCTAATCGCGTTCTTATGTTTCAGGACGAAGTAGCGAGGAGCTCAGATTAGATGAGGGAAGGAAGGTGAAGATCTGTGTGCGCAACAACGTCGTCGATTGTGACATCTGAAAATGAATTAGAGTGCGATTAAATATTTTTGATTTCTTTTTTATTTGTTAGTAGTTTTTTTTAGATCTATGTACAATAAATATTGATGTATTTTTATACACTATGAATTATCTTAGTTCAGTTGCCCTAAACTAGGCGATCCGCCGATTTCCTTTCGTTACCTCGTTTCTCTCGTCTGAAAAAATTAACTTCGTAACGTTTCGTACCATAAATATATTATTTTTTTTTTGTTGTTGCTGTCGCGACCGTTCCGCGAAGCGTCGCCCAACGGGAGGGAAATTACGCGGTTTGGGGGTTCAATATATTTACGAGGGTTAACGCGAGCACACGCGCATACGTGATCACTGCGTTGCTCTTTCCATCTCGCGAAAGTAAGTCCAAGGACGCGCGCGCTTCCTCTCGCGATTTCGATACAAAAAATAATTTTCGCACGAGCCTCGCGACGCTTCGTGGAAGAGCCTAGTTGCGCGCTTCGTTATTCTTTCCGAAACTAGAGCTACCCTCTCGCGATACTACATAATAAAAACATACGATAATGAATAGCGAATGAGTGTGTGTGTGTGTGTGTTTTTTTTTGTTTGTTTGTTTGTTTGTTTGTGTTTGTGTACGTGTGTATGGGTGATATCGTATGCAACAATTAAAATATAATGCATGTGTCATTACGTTTATTTTGTGTGTATGTGTTTTTTGTGTATGTATGATTGCGCGCGAGCGTATTTTATAATTTGTCACAATACCAGTAATGATTAATTAATTTATTAATAAACTAATTTATTGACATTAATAAATTAATTAATCCGTTATAATTAATAATAACAATTGATAAAAATGATGAACAATATCGCTGATCGAGATTGACGAATTTACGTTGATGCGACGATGTCGGCGACAATTAATCGACAATAATACAATGAGGATTATCATAGTGATAAGTAGTTACTTTTTTTCCTTTATACAGTCAAGTACAGTGTGCCTCGAAGAAAACTTAAACAACAACGTTCAACAATCGATAATATCAAACAGAATATTATTCGTAAATATATTTATATATATTTATATATATATAAATACATAAAACGTAACACTGTGCAGCGGTTTCGCGAAGGAATGCCCTACTAAAAAATAGGTGTATCCGCGCTTCTTTTCTTCTTTTCATTTTTTTCTTTTTTTTTTGCTCGATCAAAGAGAGGGAAGGGGCGGTACCTTGGCGTACTGAAATTAATTCATCCAAGATAACGTTTTGCCTCTTTTCCTTTTTTTCTTCTATGTTAAAAACACCGGTTCTCTGAACCCGTGTCTTCGTAGAATTACCAACCGATAACTACAATTAAATTGTACCTTGTGTGCAATCTTTGTCGACAAGTTAAGAGTCAGTTTAATACGAGCCTTCCTCGAGCACGGAGAGCGTTAAAACGTCCGTACTCCCGCTATCGAGAGTTGAATTGTTAATTATTCTCTGTCTTTATCATTTTTCTTTCTTTCTCTTTGAAACTTCTCTCAAGTGAGTGTGGCGTTACACCTGTAATCGCGCAACATGTTTATTTAACGATTATTCTATATTCTATATTTAACGATTTATTTCCATTTGAATCCAGAGAAATAAGTAAAAATATAATTAACAAACAGACCGCTTAACGCAGGTCATACTTTCTTTACCACTGCATCACTTAATCGCGAAATGATGACGCATCGTTTCCATTCGTGTCGAATAATCATAGTAAGCATCTTCACCTTGGTGACTCTACAAAATAAAAGTATCGCGACTAAATTTAATCGGCACAAGCAGTACATTTTATTTGAGAAAATTCGTCAATTAAATTTAAATATTTTTTTGTATCAAAATCATATTCGTGAATGACAAACGCGTTAGCGAGCATCTTAGGTTAATACATTCATTGTTGCGCGAATGCATTCAGGCACTGTTTAACTCCATACTCATTTCAAAGAAATTTCAGAGAGAAATAATAAGAGATCGGCGAGTTTGATCGCCAGTTGAAGTTAAATATTTTACCTTGACTCAGTTAGGAATATATTCGCGAATAACAACAAACGCGACAACTGAATGACACGAATAGAGCCTGTTGGATCGACGGAAGCAATGGGTGGTCGAGGAAGTCCAAGTATCTACGGCGCCGTGGAGATGCGGGATGAATCGTCGCCGTCGGCGGTCGTATCGAAGAGAGCGTTAACTTGTCGCGCGAAGAAGTTTCGACGTGGTCGACGACGAGCGCTACAGCCATTAGCGGGGTCTCATGGTGCTGTTAAGTGGCTGCATAAGGCTTCCGTTGATGTAGCCGTGGTACGTGGTGTAAACCGCCGCCGGGTTCTGCTGATGCGGATCTTGCGGATACGGTGACGGCACGTTCACCACACCGACCGGCAGCTGGCTCGCCTGGTTCATGAAGCCGCCGAGCTGCGCCGCCTGGTTCATATAGCCGGTGGCCGGCTGTGCCACCCGATAGCCGTATTGCGCGGCCATGAGATTCGTATTGAGGGCGACGTTCGGGCTGACGCGGCTCGCGGCGCTCTGCATCTGCGGGCAAGTGCCACCCGGATCGAGGGTCTGGCGATAGAGGCTCTCGCTGGAGTATGGCTGCGCGAGCGACGCCATGTTGGCGTTCGCGGACGACCTGGAGGTGGATCGGCCGGGCGGTCCGGGTGTACCGGGCGGCACGGTGTTGACGTTGTAATAGTTCTTCGCGTAGCCTAGCGGCACCTGAGGCGGCGTTGGTAATTGCCGCGACGTCTGCGGCGGCGTTATGGTGTGCGGGATGGGCGGCGGCGGTGTGAGATTCATCGCCGGCGGCGGCGTGGGCGGTATCATCTCCAAGCCGTTCGTCAGTTGTTGCAGCTTGGCGAGACTGCACGAGTTGGTGGTTTGATGACCGCCGCTCGAGGCGGAGAGTGTCGGCGCCGGAGTGTGCGAATGCGGTGGCATCGCGCTCGTCTGTATGTAGAAGTTGGTAGCGGTGGTGCAGGGCGTCGGCGCACCGGAGCGGCCGCTCCTGTGCTGGATCACGTAGGTGTTCTGCGTGGGGAAGCCCTGCGAGCCCGCCGCTACCGCCATGTAGTTACCCTGTGAGATCACCGCCATGTTGTGCGAATGGGCGTGCGGCGTGTGCGAGTGAGGATGCGGCACAGCGGGTGGCACGCTCATCGACGACGGCGACTGTTGATACTGCGGTGGCACGGCGACGTGCGCCGTGTGCGATATGGTGCTGCTGCTGTGACTGGTCTGCGACGTCGCGGCGCTATGCTGCGACGATTGCGTGGTGTGTGATGTCGGCGGAGTGGTCCGGTGTGACCTGCTGCTGCTGCTGCTGCTCTGCTGCGTCGATCGAGATCTGTGGGTGGTCTGCGAGCTGCTCGCTCTCTTGCTATGCGACTGAGACTGCTGCGGCGGTTGCTGCTGTTGATGCGCGGATTGTTGCTGCTGCGACGGTTGCTGCTGCGACTGAGACTGACTGTGCGCCATACTCTGACTTTGCGCCAGCGACAGCTGCATCGGCTGCGGCGTGTGCGACTGCGGCAACGGTTGCGGCGTGTGACTCTGCGGCAACGGTTGCGGGCTCTGCGTCGGAATACTCTGCGGGGTGTGAGACTGCGGCATCGGCTGGGGCGTGTGACTCTGCGGCAACGGCTGCGGACTCTGAGTCGGTAGGCTTTGCGGCGTATGCGACTGCGGAGTGCGCGGTTGCTGGAGAGACTGCGGCGTGTGCGGCTGGTGCATCGGATGGATCCCCGGATGATGCGCCGGCGGCGTGTGCTGCGGCATCGAGCAATCGGCGTACTGCACTTGCGGCGGTATGTTCACCGGCACCGACGACGTTACCGGTGTCGCAATCTGCATCGAGACCGACATCGGCACGCTGACCGGTGGCGGTATAGACGGCAAGGCGCTGGGCGGCCTCTCGACGCTGTTCTGCGACGCCAGATCGCTGGCTATGGAAGTGGGTGACTCCAGGCCCAGCTGACTAACATCCAGATCACACTGGCCGTAGTGCAGCGAATGCACCGAGTTAGTTGTTGAGTCCGGCGTGTAAACACCCATAGACGGTAGATCCGGCTGCGAGGGCGGAGTCCTTTTCACCGAGCCCGGGTTCTCCAAATGCGGCGTCGTCTTGCCGCTCTCGGGCGAGTGCTGCTTCAATTCCTCCGTTTGGCTCTGCAGCTGCAAGGTTGTGTCCTGATGCTCGACGGCGGGCAAAGTTTTCTCCTGCGGCGTGAGAGGCTCGGCTACTTCCGACGTCACCGTGTTGGCGAGCGCGCACGTGTCCCCCCTCTTGTCCGCCGCCACCGCCGCCGCCGCGGGAGAAGCTTCCGCTTTCGGGCGCGACAAGTCGAGCTTGACATCCTTCGGCGCTTCGTAGGCGAGTTCTTCCTTAGCAGGACTATCGCGACTATCTTTCTTCGATATCGCGCTCTCCGGCTGCTCGACTTCTTCCTCTTTTGGTGAAGCAACTGATTCAGGTACTGATTTCGATGCCTCCGGACTGCAAATGGGACGCTTGTCAGTCTCGGAGTCCTTATCACATTCGTTTAAAATTTCAGTCTGGTCATCGCCCGCCGTCGAGGGTGGATCTGCTTCCGCTTTCCGCGACGAAACCTCGTCGCTGTCGCGCTCCTGCGACTTGTCGTCCGCCTTCTCCTCCTCGCACGGTTCCTTCGCAGAATTCTCCGCACCGGGCGAGGCTAATTGCGTCATGGGTTTAGGCGTCGGTGCAGCTAACTCTTCCTCCTCCCCTTCGTCCTCGTCGCCGCCCTCGTACTCACCGGAACTCGCGGATATCACTTCCGTCTCGGCGGGAACAGGCAGGCCGTTGTCCTCCGCGCTCTCGCTCTTGTTGTCCCCGTTGCTCGAGTGTTTCGCCGACGGCGATTCCGGCGTAGACGGCTGCTGCTTGCCTCGAGCGGGAGAGCTCTTCACGGACTCGGGCGGCGGTGACAGCGAGGGAGGCGGTATCACAGGACTCTCGGCTCTGTTCTTCGCGCTGGGAGATTCCGGCGTGAGTTGCGGCATCTTTAGGGCTTCCACCATCACTTTAGCTCTGCCTCGCCTCGATATCGGCAAGCTCTTAGCCTCCCGCGCCTCTTCCTTGCCGTTGCACTGCGCCGTCTCCTCCGGCGGCGCCTTTTTCTCCTTCGCCTGCAAATACTTGGTTTGCCTGCTGGTGACTTTCAGCAAAATATCGTCCACTTTGCACTGTTTCTTCGCTGGTTTAGGCGGGGACGGTGACGAGTCCAACTTGGGTGGCGTCTTTCTCCTCTCCACCGACTTTTCTTTCGAAACTTCCTTTTCCTTTGCTTTATGATCTCTCTCCTTCACCTTCTCCTTCTCTTTCTCGCGCTCCGTTTCTCGCTCTTTTTCCTTCTCCTTCTCCCTCAGAGATTCTCGTGTCCTCTTCCTGCTGCTGACCTCCGGCTTCTCTTCCTCGATCTCGGAATGTTTTCGTTTTCTCAAAGGCGTGATAACGGATTCGGATATGAGCGCTTTAGGCGGTCTACTGATTCTCCTCCTCGACATCGTTGTTATCGGCGTCGCTTTCGGGGAAGTCGTCGGGGTTGTATTTTTCGCCGAGCTAACGGAACGCGAGCTCCGCGGCGTGGATGTCACACTCTTGGATTCCGCCTCCGCGTGCTTTCGACTCTCCGCACTCTCGGCGTTACGACCTTCTTTCGTCGATTCCTTCGGCTCTCTCGGTGTCTTGGTCTCTTTCACATCTTTAACATCTTTTTCTTCTTTAAGCGAGTCTCTAGACGCTGCAGCTCTCTGCGGAGTCTTCGGCTTCAAGAGCGTCGATCGCCTCTGGTTCGCCTTTCTCCCTCTCGGCTTCTTCTTTATCTTCACTTTCTGTATTTTCTCCACGACTGCCGGTACAGGCTTAGGCTCCACCGCGGGCGACACCTCGGAGTTGGCATCGCCGCTCTCCTCCGGGTTTTGATACGGATTGGGGATTTGCGTGAGCAACGGTATCCATCTGAGACAGTCGGGGTCCAGTTTGATGCGAGAACTGTTCCGCACCTTCGCCATGTGAGCATCCACTTTGCTCCAGTCGATCACCATAGCCACTTTACTATTATTCCCCGCTCCTGGTAGATGAACCGACCTCACGAATCCTAATAATTGCATCGCAGTGGCGAGATCGTGCGCCGACACACCGGTCTCCTTCGTGATGTTGCAGAGTTTGATGTCGGTGGCGTTTCGATGCGCTTCCAAATACTCGAGCACCACGCTCTTCCAGAAGGAATGATACGACACCCGACCGAGATCCGAGAGCGGCTTCTCCGGCGTTCCCGGAATGCCTTCCACCTTAGACAGTAGGTAACTGAACTCTATGAGAAACCTGCCGAAGCCCTGCCGCTGATACTGCGGCAGCGTCATGATGCAGGACACGTTGTACCTCTGAGCCGGACAGTGTTTCTCTTTGCTGAAATAACCGACCAGGTGGCAGCCGTATTTATCGTTCTTCGTCACCGCGTAGAAAAGAAACGGCTCCACGTCGTAGTAGAGAGTTTTGTGATCCAAAAATAACTTGGCCAGCAGACACAGATTTTGACAGTATATCTTATTTACGTTACCGTCGATCTGGAACACAAACATTTCCTTCAGTCTCGTGAACGGCGGAAGAAGAAAAGAAAGATGAGATACAATAAATGATAATGACACGTACCTCGAATACGGATAATCCGTCGCACCTGTAGATCTCGGTAGCGGGCGGATGCCTCCAACTGCATTTGTCCATGTGCCTGTCCAGCACAGCCCGACTCTTCGTATACTTTAAGCAGAACTCGCAGAAGAATAATTTCGGTAATCGTGCGTATTCCTGTGGAAACGGGCTTGAGTACCACGTTTCCACCTCGTAACGACCGAATACTATCGCAGCAGGATTTCGCGGTGCGCTGCCGGACGCATTCGCCGTGCTCGCGCACAATGGCTCGTCGTTCTCGTCGTTGCTCACAGTCAACCGAGCCCTCTCGCGAGCCTCTTTGATAAGATCCACGTCTTTCTGCGTGACACCCGGCGGCAATGTTTGCGGCACGATCGGTTCCTCTGTAAAGAAAAAGGAAATTTATAAGTGCTGGTTAACCAAATCCATCCAGCGATCTACATTCTACTGTTATTGTTCTTAAACAATTCATTTTTCTTTCTGTACTTGCTATAACCAGAATCAATATTGCACGTTTCGATCATCGATTAATTGTATTTTATCAGACACTGCTACCTACGACTGCAACATTTTGTTGTATGAGAAAACATAGGAAAAATTATGTGTCGACATGTAAAGAAATCCGACAAACAAATGTGAAAATGTCAGGAATGATTTTTGCCTTTTCATCATTACACACATTACAAATGTACGAAACGTTGACTTTAAGGTATGTATCAATGTTGCGTATTATGAGAGACAAGAAAATAAAAAGTTACATTGATATTGTAAAAATCGATTTTCCAAAAGTGTGAAAAAACTACACGTAGAGACTGGAAGAATTAGTTGACTGGTAAAATAATTAATCATAATAACTGGGAATTAGTTATGTGTCTTGTTGGCGGAATTAATTGGTCAATGTAAATCATAAAAAAGCGAAATTAATCGAATGGCATGGCATGGTGATAATAGCGACTTGATATAATACGCAAAAAAAAAAAAAAATGCGAATAAACAATTCGACTGCTGTTAATAATGTGAGTATCAAAAGCAAAGCTGTGGGTTAGGCTTGGAGGATGTGTTGGCAGAGTATCAAAGTTGGCTCTTCGGTGGCAGGGACATCTTCTTTTCTCATTTTCGTGAAGAAAGGGTGAGGGGGCGGTGGTATATAACAGTGCCTGCTAAATGTCAGCAGCAGCAGGTAGGCTCCAGTGTAAATGGTACAAGAAGTCGGCTAAGTGAGATAAGCCACCCAGTGCCGCGTTTCTTCAGTGCCTGGAAACTGGTTATCCCATTTTTCTTTTTAATAGGAAGGGAAATGCGGGGACCCAATCGATTTGATCTCTGTTCGATTAAGTGTTACATGATACGCGCAAACACATCGAGTTATTACATTTTACATCAAGTACAATCAAGATCGGTTATTTTGTACTTATTTGGAAAGAACTTGGTAAGTTGTCTTGCAAGAATGCGACAAGAGAAACTTGTCGCGTGCGTCGGTGTATTAAAAATCGTAGTGGTAAGCTATAATGTAGATTAATCAAAATGAAAAGTATAATCCAAACGTACAATGAGAGATCAAATGTACGAGTTGTGCAAATGTTATATGTACATGGTATAGTGCGTTCGCAAATCATGATTGTGTATCCTGCCGAGAAGAATGTTATAAATACAATCGAATCTGAAATAATAAATGCAGGATGAAGGCTTCTATACACATATAATAAGGACATATTTCTCAAAATTATTTAAAAATTTCTTGATTTGGTAGCCATCTCCCAATGTATGTAGCATGGATTAAAGGAAAAAAAATGCCAGAGCCAAGTAATTATATGATTAACAACATGCAATAACCACAATAGTACTCACAGTGTAAAACAAATGAAAACGAGTTTGCCACAAATTGTAATGATAAGCGTATATATATATATATATATATATATATACATCTCCCAATTAGCATATACTATATTTTTTTCTGCAATATATATATATCAATGTTATCATCGGTTTTACACCATGTAGCACACATATGTCCTATCAAGAAACCTGATTGTTCGCAATTAGTTACAATTATTAGCGTGAAATTGTGTACAAATGATAAAATTGTGACAAACATTTTTTTAGTTTCGACAATAAAATTTGTACAATTTTTTGTCCTCTACATTACCAGAACAATCACGGTATCTTGGAAAAAGTTATGGCCGTCAGACGCACGTATACCACACATCATATTACACACCACACCGCCAACACATCCACGTGGTCGTGAGCGAGGATTAGATTAGAAGGAAGTCTTCATTGCGAAGTCTTTGTTGGGTGCATCGTCGAGGTTAAGGACTTGTGAACGGGTGGGGTAGACTCTTACCCTTCCTGGCGGAGCAGGGTGTCGCGCGGGGTGTCGTGGTGGTGTTGGTGGTGATGGCGCTAGTACAGGCTCGTGGATTGGACTTTGGACTGGAATTTGATTTGACGGAATCAGAGCCGAGGCCTGAGGATTTCACAGCGGGGGGCACAGGGTGGCGTATCTGCATGTTCGAGTCCCCAGCCGTTTGCTTTTTTCGCGATTGCTGCTGCTGCTGCTGCTGTTGCTGTTGCTGCTGCTGCTGCTCGTGTCTCGACGGTGACGATGACGGTGACAGATCCGTAGCGGCGCACTTAATGAGTGACGATGCGTCCTCCCGCATTAGTTTTCTCCTTTCGTGCTCGTGCCTCTTACTGTTCACCGCGGTTTTTACCAGACCCGAAGGCGTCATTCTCGGTAACTTTTCGCTAAGCGAGCTGAATATGCTCTCATCGGAAGGTACAAAGATACCGGGCTTCGGTACTCTCGATATCTCAGTGGCTTCAGTCTTTTTCCGATCCTTAAGTTTACTCGTGCCGGACGAATCGTCCGATTTGTTGTTTTTCTGCGCGCTTCTCGGAATTTTATTCGTTTTACCGGTATCCTCCGCGTTAGGCCTTTTTCTACGATCAGGCGCATAATTCGGCGCCGGCGCACCGGTCGATCTCGCCCTGCTGTTCGCGGATGCTGAAAAAAAGTGACTCAAACCGTCGAAGAGGCTCCTCAACTGGCCGCTTCCAGGCTTGACTTTGTTATCAGCGCTGGCGGCCGGCTGTGTTGCGTTGCGCTCGGTCTTGTCTTTCTTTTTACCGTCCGTCGAATTGACCGCGGCAGGTTGTTGTATGTGCAAGCCGAAGGTCGGCACGTCGCCTACATCGAGTTTAGGTAAAGGCGCACCAAATGTGTTCGTGATACCGCTGAAGAAAGATGAATCTGCGTTTAGCTTAGCGGCGGCGGCAGCGAAGCCCCACGGTTTGTCCTCATTAAGGTCGCAAGCGAAAGGCGCTTTCGTTTTAGGAGACTCGATTCTCCCGTCCTGAGCCTCGTCCGACGACGAGGAGCCACTGCTCTCGCTCGAGCTATTGCCTTCCTCGTCATCTTCGTCGCTACTATCGCTCCCCTCTGAGCTCTCGCTGCTGTTACCATCCTCGCTGCTGCTGCTGCTACTACTGCTGCTGCTAGACACTCGCGATGCTCCGACCTTCTTCGGATTCGCGGCACCACCCCGGGTCGACCTAACGCTAATATTCCGCGAGGGCCTAGATTTATCACCGCCCCCCACCCGCTTCAATTTATTGTGCTCGGCGTTAAACGCGCTCAATCTAAAGAACTTTTGCTTCTCCTTGGAGATCCTGTCGTTCTTTTCCTCGAGCAGCCTACCCTGGCCTGCGAGTGGGGTGGGGGGTTGTGGTAAAGGAGAGGAAATCAAAGGTGGTTGACGAAGGGAGACAACACCCGCATTACCGTCCGAGCTGCTGTCCACCTGAGCCACTCCTGCACTGCCCTTCTTGCCTGGTAACGCGTTCGTCAAGCTTTTTCTGGATACCATAGATCTGAAAAAAGGTCAAGGCGTATTAGTTATCGGCGTGCGTACAATATCGCGTATTATCGCGTAATTGTGTAATCTTATTTCGAATACTAAAAATCGTTATCTGTTACGAAATATTTCCAAGGCAAACAATCGAGTGTTTATTGTCGAATGCGCGATAGTGAACGAGCACACACTCACTTTCGATTCTCGCGTAACTTGCTCAGCCTCTTCCTCGCGCTCGTCGGCGTATCCTCGGACGAATCCTGCGTTCTGCTCCGCTTCCCCTCGTCCTTGCCCGACGGCGTGTGCGCCGTCTGACAATGCCGACATTTCCAGGGTGCCTTGTTTTTCTTGTCGAGGACGGGATCGAGACAGGTGGGATGGTAAGATTTCACGCAGCCGGCACACTTGACGAGATAATTTTGTGATTCCCGCTCCAGCTGGCAACCAGCGCAGATTGGCGAGCAGTTATCGCAGGACCAGGTTGCCCCCCGGTCGACGAGTATCGAAAGTTCTGGCGGCGCGCAAGAATTGTGCAGCGCTGCGCCGCAGACGTTGCACCTGCTCAACTTCTCGTTGCGTTTGTTGCCGCTGTTGCCGGGTATCGTAGCACCGAGGCACTCCTTGCATATCGGCAGCGGCGCTGGCAACTGCGAGAAATGAACAGAAATCTATATTTAAGTAAACCATCTCTTGTCTTTGTAAAAATTTACAAGTGAGATGATAATAAAAATAATGAAAAGGAATATTAAAAAAACGCATAGTTCATCAAGAATATGTGTCTGGAAATAAAATATTCACCAATATAAGTAAAACTTAACCGTAGAATTTAATAAAATATAATATTATTCTAAAATAATTTAGTACTATTATACATAAAGTGTGATATATGATATTAGTATTCATATAATCTTCGATATTTGAAGTGTATAATATCAATGTTAAGCATTATGCCTTTCATCAGCATGAAAATATCATCAAAAAATCTGACAAATTGCAAGGTGATCTAAAATGCAAGCCTTTCAGAGTCTTCATATGCCGGCTGTGTTAATTGCTGCGTATCGACAACTTGATACTGTCTACCGTTACATATCGCGTGTACAAAAGGCAAGCGAGTCCCGATGTGGAATATAATTATTCATTTTGGCGGCGGTAACGCAGGAACACCGGTTAGGCGCGGCAGTGCTCTTATCCATCCGAAGGGTGCATCTTATTAAGAACGCGGGTGAGAATGCGACGGGCAGTTCAGCAGCGGTAACAATAATATCGAGGAAAATATCTTCACCAATATTTTCTGTGCTCGCGCAACTTGTCGCAATTGTTGATTTTACAGAACTTACATGATTTTTATAAATTCTGTATCGTCAAGCGTTTTTAAATTTACCAAATTTTTAATATGAATTGTTCAATGCTGAAAAAATGTAACTCCAAAAATTCAAAGACATATTTAGCAATATGCTGTAAATTGACAATACTTAGTTTTTCAAAAATATAAAAAGTCAATATAACTTTTTGTTTTGAAATAAAACAATTGTTCTTTTGAAAAGCTTACTTTCGTGGAATTGTGCTAACATTGGATGACACAAATGTTATATAACATAAAAGATAAATAAGATAATCTACTCTAGAAATAACACTGCTGTTAAACTTGAGCAAAAAGACAGTGAGTTAGAGAGAAGGCATAAGATATGCGGGTGATCAGCCTCAGTTTCTCGCACCAACAGCGACCTGTTGCACGATTGGTCGGACTCGCTGCATCGCGCCTTTACGCGTGCATCCGCAAATACCTCACGCGCCAACATCGCTCATTAATTTCATTCCACCGCCAAGTTGCGCGGAATACGCTTCAGACCGAGTCATCGTGACTTTGAGCGGAACAGCACATTGTCCGTAGTTGCACGCTACAAGCGCTGACATATTTACTAAATAGCTATGTAACTCCAAATTGATTTAATCGTAAAATAATGATGATGACAAAATGTGGCATCATTTAAATTACTATAAAATTCTTTCGCAGTTCATAACTTGTCTGATACAATCCGTTGAATTTCATATTATGATAATTTAATAATCCGAAACTTGAACACTTAAAATACATTTGTAATAAAATCATAAGAAATCGAAGTTATTTTCATTTCCCAATATTTTCAAATTCACAATAATTCATTATTGATAATTTATAATATTAATACAGGCCTTAAATAGAAAACAAAATTCTTTTCTACTCGATTAATTGAGAATTTAATTGAGAATTTTGCAGCGAGCAGTAAGTAATAAAAAAAAATATTCTTTTAAGAACAAATTAAATTTTAATAATTTAACTCTCTTTAAACGAGAACTCTTTAATTTAGATTAATGCATATGTACGAGTTTGTTTGTCTCTGGAGGGCTCGAGTTATCACGAGCGTCGCAATCGACTGCGGTGAGGCTTGCCTATGTAATTTTCAAAATGGTTGTACTTGTAAAACGAGCGCGCGGTGCGGGCGATCGATCGTTCTCTCGCGCCCCGGCGATTAGCGGTAACGAGGTGCGGGTCGCGGTAAAAAAAAAAAAGCGCGGGAGAACGGACGCCGCGTTGTGACGACGATGACGACGACGTGGCCGGGTCGGGCTCGCTGCCCACCTGATGCACGACGGGACGATTGGCGGACTCGCGTCGGCGCGGCGTCGTTTCGCGATTTTTCGCGCCCGCCGCTCGGAGGAGGTGCGCGAGACACGAAGGGAGAAAGAAAGGGAGCGCGATTCCGCGGCGAAGGATCAATAAACGGAGAAGCGATATACAAACGAGTCGCCGGAAGTCGACCGAGATAGCCCATCGTCCCGGCGATCTCGACCTTCTCCCCCTTTCCGTCCCACCGTTCTCCCACTGTCCCCCTCCCGGCGTCCCACTCTCGAAAGACCACCAACCGACGGGACCTGGGCACTACGGCGTGACCCGTGGAGCGATATTATTCCGGCTTGAAGAATGGCCCTCGTTTGCGTGTAGCGCAAGCGACGCGTAACTCCAACAACAACGTAACGCTAGCCGCAAGAGAGTATGCCTTAATATATGCTCGGAATTCATTTCGCGTACCGCCTCTGTTTTTGTATCCGCGAAAATCTATTTATTTCGCTTATTTATCCGAGAAAATAAATTTCTTCTTAGCTACTGTTTATTAGATGCCTGTGATAAAATTACTTGATAAAATTACTCCAAGTTTTCTGAAAGTTGCACCGAAAGTTGCGAGCTTTCAAAGGGAGTTAATCGCGCCGAGTCAAGAATTATCCAATGTTGATAAAACTAGGACTTGATTTTCTGTTTATCGAGGAAGACGAAGTGCGAGGCGACGAGGCCGCAATCGAGGCCCGATCTTGGTCGGTAATTCCGACGGGTCACGGGACGCGGGTTCTCAGCGAATGAGTCATCAATCGCGGCTTGTAAACGAGTTACAGTGACTCACCTGGGGCGCGGGCGGTTCCGTGGACGACGCATTAGCGTCGCCGCTGTTTTTCTTGAGGTACGGCGGTCGGTCCCATTGCCGGAAGAGTCTGCCGTCCTGGAGCACGAGGCCCCGATCGACCGCTCGTTTGGCGGACAGCCGAAGCGCGGTCCTAAGATCGCCCTCGGCTTCCTCTTCGACAGTGTGGCTCTGTCTGATGTACTTCTCGATGTTCTTCAGAGTCGAACCCTCGCGTTCGCCGAGCTCGCGCACGGCTTTGCTCAAAACTCTGCTCAGATCCGTCGACTTGTTGACCTTAAGCGGCCTCGACTGCAAGCCGCCCGGGTCCTTGTAAGACGATTGGCCCTTGTTGAAGATCTTGAGCACATCGCCGCGCTTCACAGCGACCTCCAAGTGCTCAGCAATCTCCTCCTCGTGATAATTGTGATGCTGGCGTATCGCGTGGCATATCCGCTCGACGCTCGGCCGTTGCTTCTGGCTGCGTATCTTGCGGATCGCGTCCAGGAACCAGAGCGACCATGTCTCGGCCGACTCGGTCTCGTCCATCGCGTCTCCGTCGGCGGCGCGGACGGCGCGGACGGCGACGACGACGACGACGAAGTCACGGCCAGTGCCTCCTCCTCCTGCCGATAGGCGACGTCACGGTTGGCCGCGACGTTCACATCCTGCCGCGACCCTCCGGTTTCTCGGTTCGGAAGCTCGACCTCACGCCTCCTCACGTTCTCACCGCGGGCTATTGCGCTGACCCTGAAACGAGAACACGTTGGTGGTTGCTGAGGTCGTGCGTGGGAAGCATGCTGAGTTTCGATTTCGCCCGCGCTAAACGATGTACCGCAAGGTACATCTGACATTTTCTAACTCGAAAGCTGTTAAACGACTCAGATATACGGGATGTCGATTGAATTACTCGCTATCGTTTACTACTCAAATGTATCTAGTAGTGTAGTGCTGTTTGTAGTAAATAATACTGTTTGTATACATAAGAAAAGAAATGTGATATTTAACGGGATGAAATATTTAAGATTGTAATTAGAATCATTTCAACGAGTTTAATTATTGAGACTATATGATAAAATATCCAACAGCAAACTAGTTTCATCGTTATTTTAGATTCGATTTCGTGCTTAAAATAAATTCTACGAATTCAACTCGTTCGTGCATACTGGACGCTTCGAATCCTCGCACGTTCCATTATCATGACTAAACATCATCTAGATGACTAAATCCTCTCTCATCGTCGAAACACTCACATCACTCGAATACACACTGTCGAGTTATAGCGGGTTCGGACTCCGGCATTTATTCAACGAGCGTCTCTTTGTTCGTCGCAACGTGGCATTACAACACGCATGTCCAATTCTTACGGTCGGGTCACGCGATTTTCGACTCCGATCGTAAAACGATCGTCCGTTCGTCGGTTTTCCCCTGAGCGATGAACTTTCTCCTGCGCGCGCGAGAACGTGGCCGCGCGGGAACGCAAGATACAACACACTCGCGTATGTATATATGTATATACGTACGTGTGAGTGCGTACTCACACGTCTATACAGCGGAGCAAATATTTAAAATCACTGTGGCCGACAGCGGTATTGCGCAACGCGCGAAACAGCTCGCAGGCGTGCGCACGAGGCTTATTAAAGTCGGTCGCATATAGATGTTAAAACGCACGCATTGAGAGTATTTGATCGCCGGGGTCGTGACACGATAAAGTACAAGAATAAGAAAAAAATAGGTATTGATTAGTACCTGAGATAACATCCAGATAACATCCTATGGAAATGCAGAATGCAAGATGCCTCAGATCTGGCAAGTCTCTTTCCCGTCAACGAACTTGTAAACTACTTTCGAGTTAATTTTTATACTCCGTAAAAGTGTCGAGAGAGAGATCATCGCTTGCGAATAATTTGCAATTTTCAACAAGTATAGCGATAAAGAAAGAAAAGTAAGATATAAACCGGTTCTTTTAATTGAAATAAAGTAGCACTCGTGAGAATTTTGGGACAAGTATTAATAAAAATAAAATTCAAATAAGACAGTTTTTAAGAAATAAAAATGTACGAAACCAGAAACGCTTTTTCCAGAATGAAATATTTCAGATCGGAGAAGATGTTTCTTACAATTATTTCAAAATATTCGCGAAAGTTTTAGTAAGAATCGCGACTCGAAGAAAGAAGGTCGACTCGTGTTATCTTCGGCTCTCGCTGCAGCGGTCGAAGCGTGAGAAACAATGCGGCCGGCATCGACGGCCGCGTGTTCTAAACGCTCCCAATAGCGTACGATATACTGCGTTTATTTGATGCGCACGAGGTACACGGAACGTAATTCTCAGGTAAGCATAGCGGAGAGTTCGACCTGTAGGTGGCCCGTGAGATCCATTGTTCGAAAGGAGACAAAGACCACCCAGCGTTTTCGTACAATATCCATACCCGCTTCGATCACCGGAAACCGTAAAAAAAATATAACTTGAACAATTGGAGAGTAGCCGTGTGACCTGAAATTACATTTAGCTACATTTTCTGGTGATTCTAAAAAGATACATTTGAGTTTGCATTCGAAACTTCAGCCTTTTTCCAGAACCAATTCTTCAAAGTGGAAACAAAAATATCGATTAATCCACTCGTTTGATTCGTGACAAATTAAATGTAATACACAAAAGTATTAGAAAGTAGCAATAAATTTTACGCGGTCGAATAATATATAAACTTTCTAGAAATTCCCGAATGAACAACATGTATTGCATACCGGCGACAACGCTAAATGTCAATGGATGTGAAAGTCGCGACAGAAATGCGTCTTCTCAATGCAGAACGGATTAATTATGTAAAAATTAGACGCTGCGTCGACGATGTAGCCGCGATACGCGTTGACCTAGGCCAGTGATAATAAATATGCCGGTGGTTTAAGTGAACGACGGAAGCGGAAAAAAGAAATTGCAAAACAGCAAGCCGGTGAAACCGGCTTCGTTCTACAATCCTTCCCACCGGATTTCCTCATCACGTGCTCGCTCTATTGCCGAAAGTGACTCGCTACTTTTTACGGTCCCTGTGTAGGGGCGACCCGGCAGTTTCCCGCCAAAACTTTCGACGATCCAGTTTTCTCGATTATTTTCAGAATAATAAAGTTTGTCGCGTCTGCGTAATATATATATATACACTATAATTTATTCCGCAGAAATTTTCCTTTTTTTTGAATAGAAGATTACATGAATATATTTCTAACCACTCCAAAATTAACTTGAATAAAATATTAAAAAAAAATTTTTAAACTGGCTTTTTAAAATGAAATATTAAAGCACTACACATAAATAAGATAAAATTTTTTGCAAATTAAGATAGTGTGGATTAATAAAATTAAACTCGAATATTCTGAGACACCTTGTAGAATTGCATACGCTTTTCGAAAATTGCATCAGCTTATTCTTTCAACCTTTTCGCAGCAAATTCAATCGCCAAGTAATACTGAGTAATACTGAGAAAAAGAACTAGTTGTACGATTCATATAATTATCACCGGAAGAATGACGCGATGTGACGCAATTCGGCGATGCACTCATAAGCGTTTGCACTCCAAGGCTCTCGTTGCGCCGACGTATTAGCGCTAGTACCGATTATCTCAATTTTATTGCTATTTTAAGACAGAGCTATGACAAAGAAAAAAAAATAGCGAGTTATTCAGTCAAATTGAATGCAACGATGTCGATTAGCGCAATCACTTTTTAAGTGTTTTATTTTTAAGACGCAAATTTAAAATCAAATAAACTAAAATATTTCTCCGTCTGCATTGCATGTGCATTATTACTATTTTATTTCGTTTTAACTACGCGCGTTTGCATTTAGATTAGGAATTAAGTTATAATCTGGAAAGGAGAACACGCTGACGAATTAGAAATCTTTCAGCTAGCGGCAGAGTGTAAAGGTTAAAACGTGTACCAAGCAATAAGAGAAATATAATCCTTGCGTCGCGTGTGTGCGTGGAAAACGTCAATGGGACGCCGCTCGTTTAATGTCGCAGCTTTATCGTGGCTTCAATGAGAGATATACCATGGCACTCGCATCTTTACTACGCGACGCGACTTCACACGTTTCATTGACAAACGCGGTTCTTTAGCATCAATAGATTTTCCGTGACACTGATATTTACACTTTAAAGAATTCAGAGAACCATGTTCTTCTCAAATGTCACAAAAATAATGGAATTCTTGCACCAATATTAATTTTACGAGGGAATAAAAACGAGATTCACATATTTTTGACAGCAAAAACGCGATAATCGGCGCAAAGTGCGTTTCTTCGTATCTTCAGCGTGCAAAATTAAACTTGCTTATGTTCTATCGATCTCGACTCTTCATTAATCCATTAATACGAAATCCTGTTTACCGAGTTCCTATGGCCTCACATCGCAAAAATTATTGGAATGCTACTCTATGAATGCGTTATTGAAGAACAAACTCTATCAGCGTATGTTTCTAATAATGCTACGAACCCGTTCTAAATGTCTTGACCATCTAGTTTTGAACGGGAAAATTACTGGGAATCTCGTGGACTGCACGAGGCCTAGTAGGTTCCAGTAGACGAGTTAAGCGTTAATCACCGCGCAAGACAAAAATAATAATGAGTGACGAGAAAGAGGCCACGAAAGCTGACAGCCTGCGAGCGCGCTTTTCGCTCACCTACACCGGACACTCGCGCGCGCCTGTCTTTTTCCGCTCGCGCGCTATCTTATTAGGCGAAATGAAATACCGGCTGAACGAACACGTCCGTCTATTTGTCCGTCGTTCGTCCGGTTAAGACGATGGGGCCG